TAGTGGTATGGAAGTAAACGTGTGCTGTTTAACAACCTCGAAATTGCTGAAAAAGAAAACGACGAATTTATAATCCAATGCCGAGGTTAATAGAAAGTCGATCCTGGAAACTAAAAACAAGAAAATTTATTGTAAGTACGAAAGCCGATGACATCACGACGATAGAGATAGGTGAGGAACAGTGAAGGGAAACAAAAAGAATAAACCGATGAAGGAAATATTGAATAGCGATGAGCTTACAAGGACGAGCTCCGTGATATTTTCCTAACCTTCCATAACATTCCTTAAGCTTGAATGGACAATGACTGCTGATTTCTTTGACAAAAATTATAAAAACTCCACCAATTCATTGACGTTGCTCATTTTTGCACTTAAGGATCCACTTCTACTTCCAAGCGATACATATTCAAAACAGCCCGCGATTTGGCAGCGTAGGACGGGTAGAGAACGACTGCTTAAATATTAGGGCCATTTTGGGCTCCCTAAATCGCAAAGGACTGAATGTCCCTACGCACACATGCACCTGAGCTCTCGATAGAGGATTTAATTATGCATTAACTAATTAATTAACCATGTAGGCAAGAAGTTTAAGGTACGAGGTTATCGGGCTTGCCGAGACTAGAAGACGCACCACTAAACGCCGTCAATAACAACGAAGTACTGCTCCTCGGAACAAGCAAAAGTGAAGGAATCGCCGGCGTCGGTGCTCTCGCCAACTTTAGTTTGCCAATGAACATCATCGATCCATTGGAACAACCAACAATTCGAATTCAATTATGAGTAAAAAGATGTCGTTCAATACCGGCTTTAGAAATCTTCGTCGTTTACACATCGACATTAATGTATGCCAAAGAGGAAGTCAAAGAGTTCTATATTTGAGTTCTACAGAGGAAAACCATACATTCTCGGAGGCAGACTGAATGAAGAAAACCGTCTGGAACCCTACACTGAGATCCACGGATTAGAATCGAACGAGCATGGTGCGCGGCTATCCGGGTTTATGATGATGACGAAACGACCAAGACCTTTCGCAGTAATTCGCAACAGCAGAAGCTCCACGCACAAAACTGGACATGAGAGTTTCACAATGGAGACTACCATAACGAAATGGACAACATCGTGGTAAATCGAAGGTTTTGTCTTACCAATGTCGTTGCTGTCTCCAAAATCCACACGGGATCAGACCTCATCTCCACTGTAGATTTTCTTCAAGCAGAGAAAGCCACGAAATTCAAAAAAGAAAACAATCCACCACCAACTAGAACTTATTTAGTTCGTTAGTTGGTTGCTGGGAATATGCCATCTTTGACAACATTGACGAATAACACCATCGGCCCATTCAATATTTTATGTTAGCGCTATTAAAGCTGAGAGTTCGAAAATCGCTAAGAGACGCCTGCTCTCAGGAACATTCAAGCTGATAAGCCAGCGTGAAATCGCACGAGCTGCAGGCAACAGCGAACTAACGTCCAAATTTGCAAAACAATGCAGATATGCGATAAAAGAAAGCTGGCTGACTTTGATAAAGCCTGTGGAAAGATTGGTCGTCGACTAAACCTCACAAAAACGATGTTCATGAGGAACGAATGGATTTCGTATGCCCCATTCACGCTCAACAGAACGAATATCTCAGAATGCTCCAGTTATATTTATCTATGTCGGGAAAGCAATATGATGAACGACCTAACTCCAGAGTTGAGCAGAAAAGAACGAGTGGCTTGGGGAGCTTTCAAGAGCATCGAAGATGTAGTGAAGAGAACAAAGAACACCCGACTTCCTGCCCACGTTTTCGACTCAACGATACTTCCTGCCCCACAACGTATGCGTAAGAAAACTGGTCGCTGCGTAAGCAGGACGAAATATTACTCAGCGTTATCGAACACGCAATCGAAAGGACGATGTTAGGAGTATCCCGTTTCACACAAGTAAGGGATGGGATCCGAAGCTCCGATCTGCGTCAGCGATCAAAAAACAGAGCGGCATCCTATGTGCCAAACTGTCGACAGGACAGGACATGTAATGCGTCTAAAACAACTAAAGAGCATGAGTCGTTAGCGTCTGGATACCTTAGGATATCAAAAATGATGGAAAGAACACCTCCGCCCGATAATCAGAGTTGTTTTTCAAGAAAGCCTAGAAAAAAGGCATGATACTCAACAAGTCTCTAAACCGAGTGGAACTCACTGGGCCATTCTTGCACGCCACAGGGAAAAATGGATCACTTACTAGCGCCCGCCCATGCGCCTCATCAACGAGGCGAAACTGCATATACTGTATAATTAGATCTGAACCTTCAAAGTAATTCTCAATCATTGCAAATGATACTTTTAGCAGAATCTATTACTACACGAGCACGAATCATACAATATAGTCATATCATGATACTACCACCCAGTCTGATCAGCGCGACACACACGCTTCATCGAGATTACTTGCACAAACTTGACCAAAAGAGCAGAACAAATTTTTTATATTAATCTCGTGTCGGTTCAGTAATATAGAGAAGTACTGATAACTAGAACATGTTGACAAGAATAAAATACGGGCCAAACTGGAAGTGTGCATGGACGACAACCAACAAACACGAGCTATCTCCGACTGGATTACTGGGGATGTCATACAGCAGAGAGACCACGGACGTAACGGTCAGGATTCTTCACGACGGCTGTAGAAGACTCAGTGCAGCACAACTCACTCGAACACAAAAATGAGAGAAATGGGAAATTTTGACACTCTATCGACTCAACGATCAACTGGATGATTGGTGATGCGTGTGACGATGAACAGCGACTAATTTTGATGCTTGTTTTCCTCCGGTAATTGAAGACTGGACAATGAGTCTGTTTGAAAACAAAACAAAACACAGATAATGAGAACGCCACCAAATCCTGTATATATTGTCCCAGAACTTGATTCCTGGAACGCAATTTCCAACTCTCTTCCTTCACAGCGTCCACATATTGACAAGAGAGAAGCCGAAGTTGTCTGACACGGACGACATCCCTCTTGCCAACGACGATGGCAGTTGCATACTACGACCAGCTCAGCCTCTTCTAAGAAAGAAACAGACCGAAGATGCCGAACAGAAAGCGCGTCTCGTCTCTCAGGTTCACGGATTACAGAAAACCCTCGATGATTTGAACCAACGTGTGGACACTGTGAAGGAAGAACGTATGAAATCGCGTTCTGAAAATCAAACCCTGGGGCAGTGTATACAGAATTGAATGGCGTCCTCATCTGTGTTCCAGTCTTCAAATATCGGAAAAAAACAAAACGATACGATATCTTCAATATTCGAATTTTGGTGTTTATTTCACCTGTAGAAACATGCACCACATTTATAGAGTTGTTTAACTTATTAAGATTGACAAGGTATATGGGCAAAGGATAAAGCTCTCGGCTTTGATCAATCCCTGAAGGATGCGCCATGCATTCGATATCATTAAGCATCGTTGGAGGACATTGAATGCATATCTGACCTTTACAATGACTCGCGGTGGCCTAGCGATGTATCGAGTCAGTGCTGCTAGCCTCCTAGACAAGTCTGATACCAAGTTGCTGACCCCGGAGGGATGGAAGGCATGGTGAGCCATGGGAGCGGGTATCCATCCCAAGTGTGTTTTAGGGCGCCTCCGACCACTGCTCCACACGTCCCCAGATAGAGGTACATAAATAGGTATGGAAATGTCGCAATGTCTGTGTTCAAGGTATGTGAACATCAAAATCTGACCGAATTCAATACACAGACTCTTGACAACTTTGTAGTCACAGCGTAAATGAGGCATTGAAGTGTGACTCCAAACATCTTTGGCATAAAAGGACAAAAGGATAAAGACTTCGGCATTCATCAATTTCTAAAGGATACACAGTGCATTCACCTACATTAAATATCGTATAGGGAACTGGATATATACCCGACTTATATAATGAATTGCAATGGCTTACGAGTGTGTCAAGTTAATCTTTAATTCCAAACATAAAACGTCCGTTCACTTGTACTGTCAGATTTGCTGAGAGGGAATGTTCAACTTCCCAATCTGTTTCTTTTTCGACAGAAACTTTAGGCAGCTTTAACTATAACGAAGTACTAAATACTAAGCATACCACTTTCCCAATCTAATTAGTAAGGGAAGCATACAGATTTCCAGAAACTGCCTTTCATAAACACAAAATAAGCACAACAGCAGTATCAAACTAGCCGCTAGATGACCGCAGAATATAGTCCGAATTTTTACGTACCAAAAAATTCAATCAATAATGAGTAGCGAATGGTTCACATTGGATCTCAACTCTCGCTTTGTTTTTGAGGACGCTCTCAAGCTGTCGAAATAGATTTAAATACAAACGAAACGTACTCCTCACGACTTTTCTTTGTGAAGAATACTGCTCTCTTTCCTTTGATTTCGGCGAAAACTGCGACATCATATCTCCAGATAGAAATAGTATCTTCCAGTTTCACACCGAAGACATTCGTTTGCACATTAAACGGTGTTCCAAATGTTCCAGCCGCAGTACTCGGTGCCATTATAGGGCGGTCAGGTTCCAACTGCAAGCAATTTTATAAAAGATACCCCAAGAAGTCTAGTCCACAGAAGACCACGAAAAAATATGAATAGAACAAAAGCGTTACTCATACTGATTAAAATAAACTATAAAAAACTTACTGAAAGTGCCGCCAATTTCTCTTCAGCTTCACCCAAGGCATCTTTTTTCCCTGAAGGCAAAGTATTAGAACTAGCTATAATCAAATATGATGAAATCAAAAGCTACCACTCACTCATCTTCCTGCCATCACCACCTTCTTTGTAAGTAGCCATAAGTACGCACGGTTTGTTAGCACACAGTTGTACGCCAAGACTGAAAAAAATGTAGCCTCTGAAAAAAATGGGCTATCGACTATACGTCTTGGCAAGTTCAAGCCATATCGTTATGAAAATGAGGAGGAAAAAAGCGTAGAAAAGTTATAGCGTAGTTACAGAGCAGCTAGCGTAGTTAGCGCAGTGGTAGTGACCCGAATCACAACGTGGATAGTGCTAGTTCGACCTCGTCACCGTACAACAAGTCTCCCATCCATTCAGGGGTGAGATCCACTAGAGTATTCTGGGTGCATCTCACTCTCCAACGCACGTGAAACCGCCGAAGCTGAAGTGTCCGACTATTCTAGTGAGAATCGACTCCACAACAATCCAACAACATCCGTGATGATGACGAAGAAAACCCTCGAGCAGCAGACGAACCCACATACAAAAAAGAAGCGATCTAAGAATTTCGTGGATGGTGGACGCGAGGAAACTAATCGAATCCAAGAACTCTTGCGATCCTCACAGGAAGGAACATGTGTGATAACGGCTGGCTTAACAAGTAAGGTTAATGCGAAAAGTCCTAGCCATACAAAAAACGAGCCATTGCCAGAATTCCCTTGAGAAACTGACATGTACGCGCGTGCGAATGGGTGAAATGGCCGTGATTCCGCAAGGAAAAAAAAACCAGCGCCCACTTTGATCTACAATAATCAGCGTTGATCTCTTTGAACGATGAAAACCAATGTATACATGTAAATGTAGGGATATGGTATGATGTAGAGACAAGGTAGGTTATCGTGTGAAACTTAACTCCAAAGTTAAATCGTCCATTAAAAAAGTGGCTAACTCATTGGGGCATGTTGACATCGACTCACAACGTATGACTAACCCAGCTGCTGCGCTGTGCAATATCGATTAGATTGCAGCCACCAATGTGCCGTTCTCGGCACCGAATTCCTTCTTTCGAAACCTGGTCCTTATCAGAGTTAGATGTTTTTATGTATTAAACAATTTTGAATGTTAATTACAAAGTAATGGGGCGGATAGCACAGTGGTAGTGATGTCCGTCATCACTAGCATGGTCCTCGTTCGATTCCGCACCGGACCAACCAAGCCTCTCATCCCTCCGGGGTCTGGAAATAGGTACGGGACTTGTCTGGGAAAAAAAATCACTCTCTGCAATCCAACCGGGAACGTTACAGCCCGGCTATCTCAGGACTCCCAGGACTCCACGGGGAATTGCTCGACGAGTATTCTACGACATTAAAGTTGAAATGAAAATCCTCAAGCAGCAACCGAAGCCACGCGTAAAAACTAGGAAGACCTTCCTGGTTGATGAATGCGAGGAAACGAAATGGGTGTGAGAAGTGTTCGGATCCGCACAGTAGACGTGAAGACGGATCAAATAAAATAAAAAAAAAGTACAGAAACTTCCAACTAACGTTTCGGGGCCTTTGCCTTCTCAGGAGCCGAGCCGATGTAAGGGGATGGTTCTTCCTCGTCATGTGCGTCTTCATAGACGTTTCGAGTCGCCTTCTTAGGTGGAGAACCGCTTAAATGAAATGAAATCGTTTGTTGGTGCTCATTTATCAAGGACAATTGTTGATATGCTCTGACTGTCCGTTGATGACCTGTTTTCTCTGGAAAATTTATTCTACATCAGTTCTTATCTTAGTTCTTAGTTCATCAGCCTTCTCCAGAGAACCTTTACTGACTGGTTAGTGGACTATAGGTCTTCGATTTAGTCTTCGGTACCAAATTATCACCAGCTCGATGTAGAATAGGCGACTTAGTAAAATTTGCCATGTGGGGCCTTTTTACGTTGCCATTGTGGCACAATCTCAAACTGGGTGGTAAAGCCGTTTATACCAATAATAGTACATTTAGTACAGTAGGGCTGGGAGGGATAGTTAGTGCTTACTGTTGGCGTCCATCAAGAACCAAAGACACTAGATCGACCACTTTCTCAATCGCTACTCCGCAATCCACATGGGAACGCCCTAACCTCGGCCACATCTCCAAGACTGCAAGAAGAATCAGCTCGAGGAGCATTCTACGATATTCATGAAAAGAAGATGAGATCCTCAAGCAGCAGCCGAAACAATACGCGAAATCCCCGCCACCGACTTTCTATTAACTTCGGCGTTGATCAAATAATTCTCTAAATTCTTCTTGAACGAACAAAATTATAGAGAATACGCAAAATGTTCGAAGACTTTTGTGGACGATGAATGCGAGAAAAAGGCTAATCGACTGCTGGAAACGCTGGGATCCGCACAGGAGATGAGATGATGGGTCGTGTTAAAAAAATACACAATAATGACATTCCAACACTGAAGCACTAAGAATAGAGGATAAAGCTCTCGCCGTTGATCAATCCCTGAGGGATGCGCCATACATCCGACTTCATTAAGCACTGTTTGGAGGTGATTGAATGCATGTCTAACCCTACAATGACTCGCAGTGGTCTGCCAATGTATCGAGCCGCTGCTGCTATCCTCCCAGACAAGTCTGCTACCAATTTGCCGACCCCGGAGAGATGGAAGGCTTGGTGGGCCATGGAGCGGGATCGATTCCACGTGTGTGTTGCAAAGCGCCTCCGACCACTGCGCCACACGAACGCTCTACTGGAGCAATATAAACGAAAATATGGTAACAGGGTCAATAAATGAGAGCAAGACAATACTTATGATGGTACGTAAAAGTGAAGGCGTAGCTTTGTCTTAGGCTGATTTCCTAATGTGATGCCCAGTGTAGTGTGAAGTAAAATCGTAGTGGTATAGGCAGTTCACATTGCAGAAGACACGTGAGGCTACAGCAACAGTGCAGCGAGGTTAACATAGAGGAAGGCTCATGTGGGTTTATAAAAACATTAGTCCGTGGTAAATGTGGGATGTTTAGCATGCTAGAGGTACATATAAGCCTGTGATAACAACGCGATGACGTTAACGCCTAAAAAGGTACACATAAGCTCGTGGTAACAACACGGTGAAGTTAACGCGTTAAAGAGTACATGTATGCTTACGACAACACTAATTTCTAATGACCGCACAACGGTGTCAATATGTTGAAACGTGCATGGCACTAAAATGGGCTCAACGCACGATAATGGCCACGTGTGGGTATAATTAAGAATTGGGAACAATTTCTGCATGGAGTAAAGTAGTAGGAAAGACATAACGTTTGTCAGGATGCTAAGTAAACAAAACGCATAATGATGTAAAATGTACGGCCAGTATGCAAGCGAATAGCGTAGCGCTACGGATTCTTGAAAGGACAACCACGGGAGGCCTTGGGCGACGTAATTTGAAATTCAGATGCTTACATAATTACAGTGAGGAGCGTGTAGCACAGTGCTAGTGATGTTGGTCTTCGCTAGCACTGTGCTAGTTCGATCCCACCCCACTCTCACCAAGCCTCTCATCACTCAGGCTCCGGAATTCAGTACTGGACTTTTCTGAGAAAAGTTCACTGTTTGCAGTCAAAGCGGAAAATGTGTAGAAAAGTTTAAAACACAATAACAGTAAATTGTATTGAGAGAATGTGCGTACTTTGTAGGAGATATAGTTACTATACACGGAAGGCTGATGGTAAAATAGAGACTATTTTCTACAGGGTAGAGAATAGTTTCTATAAAACCTAACAATATTTCGAAAAACCGGCTTTCCTTTAACGTCGGTATCAGTAGAGGGCGCGTATGGCACAGTGGTCGGAGGCGCCCTGCAGCACACACGTGGGATCGATCCTGCGCCATAGCCCACCAAGCCTTCCATCCCTCTGGGGTCGGCAAATTGGTAGCAGACTTGTGTGGGAAGATAGCAGCACTAGCTGGATACATCGGTAGGCCATCGCGAGTTATTGTAAAGGCCAGACATGCATTCAGTCGTCACTTCTAAAGATGCTTAGTGAAGTCGAATCCATGGCGCATCCCTCAGGGATTAATCAACGCCGAGAGCTTTATCCTTTTTTATGGTGTCGACAGTCGAAATTCTCTTAGGTGATCAATCTAGTGCAGGGCTGATAAAAACTTTTATTGGACTAACTTTTCGGCGGCGTTGCCTTCTTCAGAGCAGAATTGAGAAGATTGATTCATTTGTTGGAAGAAAAGAAGTTACATTCAACAGACAATTAATATATCCAAAGCCATCCTATACTGACAACCAGATCAAATAGCGTCTGGTAGATGAAGTGATGTATTCTATGAACAAATGGATTTCTTTCTTAGTAATCGTTGAGGAAAATTCAGCATACGCTTCGTATCAGATTCTAACTGCTAGCAACTCCGAACACTTTAGATAACGTAGTTTGTGCGAGAACAGTGACTCGGAGAAACTCTTTAATCACTTTATTTTCTATGATAACACCTACCCACTTCAAATGTAGTAAAAATACTACCGTTTATCAAAGAGCAGTGGGTGAGTAGGTCATGTGGCTGCTTTGTGTCGTAAGATAGCAACCACACACTCAAGATTATAGGAGACGTGAAATCATTTTCACCTCTTAGTTCTTCTATTTTCGGCTCCTTAACTACAAAATCCCGCTCCTTGTAGTGCAATTAAATTGTTGAACCTATAGTTCTGAAGTCAGGTTCATGTGAATCATTTATTAATCCACTATCGTAGCAGTCATCCTACATAGCAACCATTCCTCCGATTAGTTACTTTTATTCTATTCTATTTCTATTTCTATTTGATCCGTCTTCACATCTACTTTGTGGATCCCCATCTCACATTCGATTCGTTTCCTCGCATCCATTGTCCACGAGGATCTTCCAGTTTTCTTTACGTGTGGCTTCCGTTGCTGCTCGAGGATTTCCATTTCATCTTGAATGTCATAGAATGCTGCTCGAGCAATTCATCCTGAAATCCCGAGATAGTCGGGCTGGAGCGTTCGCAGTTGGGTTGCAGAGAGTGATTTTTTCTCTAGCAAGTCCGGTACCAATTTCCCGACCACGAAGAGATGGGAGGCTTGGCTGGCCCGTAACGAAATCGAACTTACCGTTCCCTTGATTAGTTACTATACTTTCAAATTATCATATGATCCTATCGTAATTATCTCAATTAATGACTACATTCATTGCTCCTGATATCAATTAACAAGCTTGTAGTACGCTAATGTTTTCATTTACTTCGGAAGAACCTTGCTTGCAATAAGCAGTCTTTTTTTTGCTAACATCTTTGTGTGAGCTAAGCCTTTAGTGTGTCATTTTCTTCAAAGCCTTCAAGCGTACCATAACGCGAATGGCAAAAAGTTGTTTAAATGAGCCGTCTTCCTTCGTCTATTCTGGGTCATGAGCGATGAGGAACTGATAGTCGATGAATTTTTTCGAGGAAATTTCGAACCTATGCCGAAATACCGCCTTCTATATAACACATTTAAACGTTTTTGTGAGTCACTATCCTATTCGTGTGGATAGGGCCTTTACGGTCTTCCTTTTTATCTCATGTTTTACTCCACGTAGGTGATCCCGGTTACTAACCCTTGTGGCACATGATCACTGTTTTACATTAACCTCATTCTACTGTCATGTACTTCTTAACACATTCACCCCATTGTGCGGCCATCATAAGCTATTGTCATCGCAAGCTTATATGTACTCCTTAATACAATAAGCTTATCGAAATGTTGTCATTTGCGTACATGTACTTCTTAGTACATTCATCTCATCGGAACGTTATCACAACTTTACAAATATTGTGTAACCATAACCTATTGTGATTGTAAGGTTATACGCTCTCACATGAGTCTTCTGATGTGCTTATCTTTTTTACCACTATGGACGTGTTCTACATCATACATACACATCGTATTGCTCCACTAGCCTATGACAGCGGTACTATATCACTTTTAAGCGTCCTCTTACCAGCTAGTCTTGTCTTCATTTATTGACTCTGATACTAAATTGCCGCTCGTATTGTTTTTATTCTCGCATGTGGTTACTTCTCCGTCATTATTGTTACAGATGTTTAATTAGCGAAGCTTGAGATATTGATCTGTAACAACGTCGAAAAAGATCAGCGTAAAAGGTTCCTGCGAAGTCGAGAATTCTACATTGAGCCAGTGATTATTCAGTGCCGAGAACTGACTCGAAGACCTAGTTTCCACTAGCAACTGCTATATCCTAAACCTTTACCTATTCATGCAGTTATAACGCGATATTCTTTTCTAGTGTAGGCTAAATTTGAGCATTTCATATTCACTACAGCGTACTAGGTTTGAAACGCTCCAATCGGTCGATTTTACCTGGAATTTTGGGATTGCCGTGATACTCAGATCTTCACAGAACACACTTGCTAGCCTTTTTGAATCTGTACGGAAAAGTCTGGCACTTATCCCTGACAAAGGCTCGGTTCGCGGCAAAACATTGAAAAGGAAAGAAAAATACTCCAACAAATACTCCAACAAAGCAACTTTGATAGAAATAGCTGAGAGACAGGCTAACCGAGAGACTCGCATGGTGTGGTGGTGAATGCGTTACTCCCCAGAATGGCCAATCGCGCGTTCGTTCCCCAACATAGACACCTGCGGTCCAGAGTTTTGCAAATATCTCAGCAACGTTGTGGTTGTATTTTGCTTAGTACCCTGCCGTGAAAATTGTAGTAGACAGAAAATAAAAGGTAAAACATTAAGAAAAATTGTGTTCTAAAAGAGAAGACTATTGCAAGCATATTAAGAGCTACCGCAGACGTTTTATTTCAAAAAGGATAAAGTTGTTGGCATCGATCAATCTCTGAGGGATGTGTCATGCATTCAACTTCACTAAACATCGTTAGAGGTGATTGGATGCATATCTGGCCTTCACAGTGATTCGCGGTGGCCTGCTCTATACAATAACTTGCGATGACCTGCCGATATATCGAGCTAGTGTGCCATCCCCTCAGACAATTCTGGTACCAATTTGCTAACCTTGAAGGCATGGAAGGCTTGGTGACCTTGGGGTGCAGGAATGCTCTCATGTGTATTGCAGGGTACCTGTAACCTCTACACGTGCCATTTTATTGGTAAGCAATAAACAATATAATTATCGTAAACCAGTGGCAACGTTAGACTACAAAGCATCCACTATAGTAGAAAGGGGAATTTTTAGCCAATAAACGGGATGGCTCTGTGTTTGCAAAAAGGAGACAGTCATTATATTAAAAACCATAACTTCCTTAATATTCTGACCACAATCGTGAAAAAATTTATTAATGTCAAAAAGTTTCAAGGCTCATATGAGGCGTTTACGGAAAATAACACCGTAGATAAAAATATCATCCGACTCAAAAATAAATGGGACCTTTGTTGCTGCCAGGGCATATCCCGTCACACATCGTATCCTTTTTCTACATCTATAAATCTTTCGAAAAAGCCTGTTTGGCTAAATAAAAGATTCAGCAAAAGAAGAAAGACGAGGATGGGTCTGGGTCTGCTTAACTCTTTGCTGTTATACAACCACAACGTTGCTGAGATATTTGCAAAACTCTGGACCGCAGGTGTCAATGGTGGGAAACGAACGCGCTATTATCCTTTCCGGGGAGTAACGCGTTCACCACCACACCATGCGGGTCCTTCGTTTCGCCTGTCTCTCAGCTATTTCTCAGAAATTATAGAAGGCAGAAAACAAAACGTTAAACATCTTTGCTGTTATTTCATTTTTTTCACGGTTCTCTTTCAAGTAGTGCATTTTCATTAAAGGCCGAGTAACATAAAACTACAGATGTTAGAAGCATTACCACATCGACCTTCGGTTATGTGGTGCTTAATTCGGCAGAATTTTTTGCTAGTCCAGTCAGACGAAGAGGCAAACTGTTGTAGAATATTTCTTTTTTATCTACTACCTAAAAAATAGTAGGCAGTAGATAAAAAACTTAAACATATTTGAATTCTACTAGAGCCTCAGCTAAACCATGTTCATCGTCGATCTGTGCTCTCTAGATCATTCCAGTTGGTGGGTGATTACTGATGGAACCATTAGGATGAAAAATCGGCTGAGAGAAAAGCAAAGCAATGGCACAATGGGTGATACTGATAAGTCCCTGGTAAGGGTAATCACAGGTTCGAATCTACCCTGGAGTACAAGTTTTGCAAGTAACTTAGCGTCATTGTGGTTGTAGAATAGTTACAATCATCAGTGGCGATTTATTTTATGAGGAAATATTTGCAAGAGTTTTTAAAAACCGACTTCCATCAAGCTGCTGCAAGTCTAATCAATAGACTCGAGAGATATTGCTACTTTAACTAGATATCACATTTATGTTACTCGACTTCGCATGTTGTCGATATGTGCCGGTTCCAGCGTATCATTCATTCGGATCTTTTTCTCGCATGCGTCATTCGTGAATGCCTTCGGATTTGCGTGTTGGTGCCGCAACTTGTGGGCTTTGCTTTCTTCATCATGAATGCTGTTGACTGCTCGAGTTGATTCTTATTCGAATCTTTGGATATCCCTCTTAGGGCATCTCTAGGTCACATACACAAAGACGGTCGCCGGGAGAGTTTTTCCCAGACAACTCCAGCACTAATTTCAAGGCTCCGAAAGCATCACGCAAGTTTGGTCTACTTCGGTTTCATGAAAACAAGTCAAAATAGTTGGAGGTACATAGCGATCAATTTACAACCAATTAGTGGTTCAAAGTCGTTTACTCTTTTCTTATTTATACTATTTGGTCCACTATAGAGAATTACATGATCAACATGAGAATTCTGTGGGACAACAATTGAGATCACTTCTGCAAGCATTTGTCGTCTTCGCCTTGAGCAATAACAAATCCGTAAATCATCAGAAAAAGAATAAACGTCACCGGATACATCACCTAAAGCACAACTCTTTATAGGAGAGAAAGAGAGAAAAAATAGGGAGTTGTTTTATAGCAGAACCTTCTTTTCACTTCTCTATGTTGATGTTGACAATATAGAGTCTTAACGGTCAAACACATATTAAACACTATAGTCATGTTAGTATTCCCAGAACATTAAAACTACATGGCCCTAAACGATTAAATTTTTGATCCATAATTCCTTTTTTCTTTTCTTTTATTCCTCCCAACGGTTTACCCCTCATCGTGGGTGGAGGATGTTCCTGTGTGTCGGGCTGCGATGTACAGCGGGAAATTCCTCCACCCTGCAGGGGCTCCTAAGCTAAGGAGTCCGGCGTTTCCATCAGGAATCCTAGCTAAGAGTAAACGAAAACCAGGATCCACCAGCGTCCTGGTATCAAACTAGTCGCATGGCGGCGATGGTGGTGGTGACGACCTGGGGCAGACTTTGGCTAGTCTGACCTCGGGACTCAAGAGAAGAAGAGTGGCTAAAAGAGCAAAACTCCGAAAAATGGAGAGTATGTTGAGGCCTGTACAATCGGTGAGGTCGGGCCATTTAAGTATCAGGTATCAAGTAAATAACGCATAGATCCAATGCAAAATATATAACCATAGACATCAAAGTAAACAGCTGTAAAGAGAACAAATTGGTGTCAGCTCGCATCGGCCCAAATACCTCGACCCTATGAATAGATAGAAATCAATTCACGTAGGATTTCAAGTGTTTCTTTATATTACGTTTCAAAGGAATGCGATTCTATTCCGAATTTTCCTTTCGTTTACACGCAAGCAGTTGTAAATTGTACAAAGTGTAAAGAAAAAGCATTAATAAGTCATTTAATCAGAATCAACTTCTTACCTTACAGAAAGTGTCGAGGTTTCTTGCTAAACGATGATAATGCCTGCTGCGTAACATCAAAAACATCATTTTATATTTACTATATTCGTCCACATTCTTTTCACATCTTCGTCGCTAAATTGGAATCACTTAGTAGTTTCATGGATTAGTAACCAATTAAAATTCTCGACACTACTAACTAAAGGACTAGCATGGTGTGGTGGTGAACGCGCTAGCTCCCGGAAACGGCAACACCGAGTTCGGTCCCCACTGCAGACACCAGCGGTCCGGAGTTTTGCAAATATCTCAGCAATATTATGGTTTATTAACTAACTATTGAGTTGCTAAAATCCTCCAGTATGATAACGGCTAGAGCCTGAAGCATTGTTGCAAAGACGAATATGGAAGTGAATCCAAACCACATATCGATGGCCTAAAACAAAAAACAAAGCTACGGATTGGATAGTGATAAGGGGCACCAAAATTAGCAGTAGTACGAGTAAAAATATTGCTGAAATCTTAGAATATGTAGTTATTTGACACAACTCTTTCATTTTTCTTACAAGCAAAGGAATTTGGAAACAGCTATCCTAAACTGGTAGTTGAAAGCAGCGATAGAGTTTTCATTAAAGAGAAAATAGAAATGAAATAAGTTGAAAAGGGAGTGATAGATGGTCTCCAAATTGTGAACCAAATACCGCTAGTGTTTTAGTTTACTGATAAAGTCAGGGCAGGTTTGATTCAAATCAAGTGCCCACAGCCGTTGTTTCTTCTGATGCGTGACTTTCCGTAGTCACATTGGGTCGAACCAAGTGCAATAAGAAACTGGCACGAATTCGTGAGAATGGGATTGCTTGGAATCTTGGAAGATTGAAATCGATTTGACTCGATGTAACTAGGACGACTCACACATTGAAAGAAACAGCTAGTTTAAAGACACGACTCAAATCATTGTGAGGCTCTGAAGAAGGCGATGGTGCTAGAACACTAGTCACAGCAAAAACTTATCAAAACAGCATAGCGTTTTTCTTCTTTACATTATATTTTCGTCATCTTCGAAGACCTTCCAACCTTCGTGAGTGGGTTCGGCTGCTGCTTGAGGATTTTCCTTTTGTCATGAATGTCGTTGAATGCTGATCGAGTCGATCCTCTCTGGAGTTCTGAGGTAGCCGGGCATGAGCGGGCAGCGAACTTTTTTCAGGCGATTCTGGCACTAATTGCCCGATTACGGAGGGAAGAGAGGCATGATGAGGCCCACAAGTGATTGACCATGCTCGTAATGATCGACATGATTACCACTGCGCTACCCACACTCAAGATAGTGTTGGACTTATCAGCAAATCAACATGTAGATTATGCATGCCAAGATTGAGTGTACAATTTTGTAGATATTGCGCTCTTGTATTTCAACAGAACATATGAATTTTGATCGCATGACCTTGAATAGCAACCATTGCAAACGAAATTCTGACAATCGTCGTCATAGAGTAGAGGATAATCATTTCAAACAGTTTTTCCTCAAATAACTTGTATTAGAAAGTTTAGTACAACTAGTAGATATGAAATAAATCGATACGAAAAAACATCACCTTTATGTATGAAACCTTTGGTAAATCCTCTTTAGCAGAACTGTTTTCAGCAGTAAGTGTAAGAAAAACTGTTAGTGATACAAAAATACGTCCTGAATTGATACGTTTATACTGAGACAATACCATTTCATTACGACCGAGATACCTTGAACGAACTCCTCTGGAAGCCACACACTGATCCAGGAGAACACAACGCATATTGTCGTCGGAATATATGTCTGAGCCAAATGATAGCCAAGTTGTCTTTGTAGAAAGAATTGCGCTACCAAGCACGAATAATTCCCTGGAAAAGTTTTATTTTTCAGCATGTTTGACTTCCTAGTACTATACTATTCGTAGTTAACGTTCTCATGAACAGTCGAGGTAAGACATTCAGAAAAAAGTCCATTGATAGTGTTGGAGAAATGAAGATTTTCCAACACGGTTCGTGAAATGCTCGGCAAGGACCACGTGGGCACTAATTGCGTGGTAAAAGTGTGAAGCGCTGCAACTTCTTTGCCTTGCACGATGAAACCTGCTCTTTCTGTATGATATATAATGATCGCCATTTATTAGTGAACACTCACCATTAGCAATCATCCGTCAATGGCACTGTTCGATAGAAATAGCTGAGAGACAGGCGAAACGAAGGACCTGCATGGTGTGGTGGTGAATGCGCTAGCTGCCGGAAAGGGTAATAGCGCGTTCGTTCCCCACAGCAGACACCGGCAGTCGGGAGTTTTGCAAATATCTCAGCATCTATGAATAAATTTTGAGGAACTCTTTTGCTGTTTGCTCTCACCAGCTAGCTTAAAAAGTGGTCGAAATCATCACTTCTGCATTGTCCCAGTGACGAAGAATAAAAACACGAGGAAATCACGACGGCGCTCATACAATCCGTGAGAGAAACTCCTTCATCTAATGTAAGGACACGTTCAATTAATTTAAGTATGTTCCGCATCGTGCTCTCATTTTCACATTGTAAGATAATATCGAATTTAATGTGATTTGTAGAGTTCTGGTCGAGTAGCTAAGAACTTCGACACAACCTGAAACTTGATTACTTCTCAAGCAATGGCGTACTGCTAGACGTCACAGATGGCGCAATCCGATGGGAGCAGTAGTGGGACTATTTTTTACAAGGTATTATATTATTTTATTTGTTGCTGTCTTTGTGCTTATTTACAGATTTGAAAGAGTCATACCATGACTTCAGCAAGTTTTGTTCACGGCAAGTGGCGTTCCTTCATGAATCTAAGAAAGCTTTGGTTCTATGCTGTCACAGTTCTTTATTATATTTTTTTCTTAATATATTTATTTGTGTGATTTTATAAACTGATCTTCTTAAGCTGACGGGCACAGGTCTTCGTTGTCGTTGTCGTTGTTTTTGATGTTATTGATCGATGGCTGACGTTTCGGCGACTTCGCCTTCCTCAGAGCCTGGACGTACTTTACGTTAGAATACTTTTATTATTCGGTGGAAAAGAAGGTTAAAGTATTAATGAAGATCAAACTTTCAAATAGACGCCATATTGAACAAGAAGGCCACTCACCGTGACGTTACGTGCGGGATTGGCCCACACGTAGTTCACGCGAGCAAGACACGCCCCGGGGTCAAAATGTCATTTTGAAATAGGGCGCCAGGTCACGCGTGATAGTGTTTGCGTTGAGTTGAGTTTTGAGTTTATTTCTCAAAAGTTTTGCGCGTTGATGTTTTTGATTCCTGCGCTAGGATCCGCTCATTCACTTCAAAATCATCGCCGTTGTGCTTTTGTGCCCTATGCGTACCTAGAGGAGTGTTTAAAAGGATTTCAGCGAAAGCGATGGCTTTCATGTCTGAGGTGGAAGCTCCAGTTCTCGATCATCGACTCTTACTCTACTGTCGATACATAGACGACTGCTTCATCGTCTGTTCCACACAAGAACAGATGGATGAGTGCTTTGAATTATTAAACCGACAGTCAGAGTATATAAAATTCACACGAGAAAAACCTACCGAGTTTCCATCTTTGAATATCCAAATAAAGCTCTCAGTAAGTGGCTATTTAACAAAATGGTATCGCAAGCCAAGTAGTAAGAACATTCTAGTTCACTGCCTCTCCTCTCATCCTTCACACATGGAAAAAGTACTCATCAAAGACATGTATCGTACGGCTAAAAATGTGTGTACAGGAGAAGAGGAAAGGAAGGAATCGCAAAACCTGGCACGAAAAATTGCCATTTCCAATGGCTACGAAGTAGAAGCCACTCGGGTTAGAGGAAAACGTTGGGTAGTTTCCCAAAATAATATTTCAAACGAAAGTAGGATCCCCTTTAAGCTGCCCTTCATATCAAATGAAGTAAGTCACGCCATTAAAAAGTGCTTAAGAAAAAGTGGTCTTGAAAATTATGTAACGATTATTGACATCCCACTCAATACCCTACGCCGCCAGTTAGTTCGAAACCGTGTCTATGATCGTTTGTGCAGCTCAGAAAACTGTATGATCTGTCCTAACGGGATAGACGGGGATTGCATGAGTTTAGGTATAATATACTTGATCTCGTGTAATGCATGCGGCGAGGAATATATCGGGGAAACGGGTAGACCACTTTGTGTCCGCATAAAGAAACATCAAGATGGAAAAGCTAAAATCCGTTTAAACACCCCTCTAGATACGCATAGGGCACAAAAGCACAACGGCGATGATTTTGAGGTGAATGTGCGGATCCTAGCGCAGGAATCAAAAACATCAACGCGCAAAACTCTCGAGGCGTTTTGGATAAATTTCAAAAATCCAAAGATGAACCGGAAGGACGAATGCCTCACTATCACGCGTGACCTGGCGCCCTATTTCAAAATGATAGTTTGACCCTTGGGCGTGTCTTGCTCGCGACTCCACGTGAACTACGTGTGGGCCAGTCCCGCACGTAACATCACGGTGAGTGGCCCTTCTGTTCAATATGGCGTCTATTTGAAAGTTTGATCTTCATTAATACTTTAACCTTCTTTTCCACCGAATAATAAAAAGTATTCTAACATAAAGTACGTCCAGGCTATGAGGAAGGCGAAGTCGCCGAAACTTCAGCCATCGATCAATAACATCAAAAACAACGACAACGACAACGAAGATCTGTACCAACCTCGCGTCAGCTTAAGAAGATCACTTTATAAGATCACATAAATAAATATATCAACTATCTATGCCGAAGTTTATAGAAAGTCGATCTTTCGAGTTTTTTCTTAATATATGAATAGGTACTTGGATTTCTTAGCAGATAAAATAGTGGTACTTTGTGGTTGAAGTCGCCCGTTTGTATTACGATATAATTCCCAGGACCATCATTGCCTCGATGAACTAATATTGTTGTGGATCTAATAATACTATAATATATTGGAACAAAGTGAATCTTTAAGGATGCAGAAATGTTGGAGCGCCGGAGAGGCTGTGGTAAGAAAGAAGCGAAATAAAAGCACTGTATCCGCTGGTTCGATCCCGCATAGACGTACCAAGGACCTCCAACCCAAAGCTATCAAGAATTTGGTACCAGTCCCGGGAAACTCATTAGGATGCACAAATGCGGGCGAATGACTATGGTGAAGACTAGGAAACGCACTATAAAAGACATTCAGGCATTTTAGGGAGAACCTATTCGACAAAACTTCATATTAAGAAGAAGAGGAAATGGCAGGTGAAGGCAAACTCAAATCCGAAGTCCTTCGTAGGTAAGGGTTGCGACACAACGAACTTAATGGAAGAAGTGTTAGAGTTCGCAAAATATGTCGTCTCGGGTCGTATAAACAAATAAAATAAAAAACAAACATCTACATGATGGGTGGCTGAAATTGTTTAGCCTACTGGATTAATTACAAATTACCAAAGCCTCACATACCTGATTTTCGCGAACCATCACAGCTGTCTGCTTTAACGCGGATCAACGACAATTCAGGTATTTCGAGGTCCCGATTCAATTGGATCGCATCGGATAAACTGGAAAACCATTGAAACTGGACGGCATCAGTGGTGAATCCAACTGAACATGAAAGTTTTTGAATTAGCAGCAAGTATAGAAGGCACTTAAGATTCTCAGAAGAATGTTAGAACTTTCGAAGTTGCTGAAACAATCTCACCTGTCGCTTTCGACTTCCGGTTCAGATGTTATAAATCGTAAAAAAGAAGAAAAAACGCACGATCTCAACTTTGCTATTGAGGTAGATCGTAGTGTCTTCGTTATTTTACGGAATTGCAACCAATGGGAAAAAAAGGCCGTGGAAGAAATCACTAGTGGAGGACTTACGTGAACCAATTTTCAAAGAGCATGTAGGTCTATCGTGTGGATATTTACAGAGAACGATGTCTTCAGCAGTTGCCTTCAAAAATACTCTGATGTCCATAAAAACTTCACCACCAGGAAATATGAACATGTAGAAGTTCAGGTAGGTAACCTATAAGGTAAAATTGTGCAGATGAAAGTACACTGCCAAAGATCTTCGAATAAAATATATATGCATATGCATATATTTTATCCTATGACAAGTATCACTCTTTATAAATTCCAAGCGGTATATCGCCTCGTTATTGCTGGTAGGGTATATGCATCTGGGTGTCGAGCTGAGCATAATGTGGTGTTCTTATCCCAGGAGAATGTTTTAAACTTGGAAGGAATATGACATCTCCAAACGGCAGCTCAGCTAGGAGTAAGTCAACATAAGGAATCACCGCTATATTGGTAACAGCACAATCGATGACTGCCAAATAGTAATGAGCTGTGGAGATCTTGTGCTGCTTTTGAGATTCCACGGAAAGGATATTTTATCTAACTAGCAGACTGCAAATCAAAGGGGAATTTTGCTGGAGACTCAATTCTTCGTAAATTGGGAAGATTGACAATTTAATTTGATGATTCTGAAAATGGACTGACGACTTTATGAATTGCCGCCAAAGAAATTTGTACTGGTACTGAAATGAATTTGTTTAAAAAGCATTGACGCCTTCTAGAAGAAAATTATGTGAAATTCATTAGAATCGATTGAAAGAGCAAAAGTAACACAACGATTCGTTCAAATCTGCAAATCACTATGACACAACAAATTGGGCAAGCGAACAAAGCAAATCACGACGAGATAACACTGTAAGCGTAAATTTTGGTGGCTACGTGCCAATTTTAAAACCGGAATTGCTTCCAAACGCCCACGCAAAGGATGCTTTTTTAAATGAAGAATGAACTTCGCACTTACTCTATGAAATGCTGCCGACTTTGCATTTTTGAATATAGGATCTGGTCTCCAAATTCTCTTCAAAGACGTGAATTCGTTGATGAGTATTGGACGGCTGTAGCCATGGCGTAATCGAGGGTCATACCATGCCATACGGAGCCATGTGTCAACATCGTAGTCCTAAGCTTACATGTAATTGAAACCTATTTGACTAACATGTTCGAAAAAACCTCTGTTAAGATGAGCAGTTCAAGCTACTGTAGGCTTCGAGTAGGGAATATTTTCTTAAGATTCCACCACTATGGGGTATCATCAGGATGAAAAGGAGTCCTCATCTTATAACAGTCTCACCTAAGTGTTGTAAACCCTCGGTGCCGACATTCCCTACATTCTTAGTTAAATTCTGACAACACATTTCCATAAAGTTTGTGATTAAGTGGTAAAATCTATCGTTCATCTCATGACTCTTATCAAATATTATCACAAGGCACACTCACAACACCACAAAAAACAGCTTTTGCTTTTTTAAAGAACCTTCGCACACCTTCGAAGTTCACTTTTTCTATCGTAAACTTAGGGAAGTTGCTTAAAAAACTTCTGGTTATTGCCTAAGATAAAGAAGTATTAAAACAACAAAGGTAAAGGAGCGTAACAGGAAGAATTTTTTGATTTGATCCAACGAAGCAAATGGAAGCTATTGTCCTGAGCATCTTACAACAATTTTGCCATTCCAAGACAATGCCACCAATCTTCTTTAAGATTATCCTTTGAAAAGTAGTGAATTACTTAGAAATTTTCAACATTACTGATTATGAAGATCGCAAACACATCTTAGTCAACTACAGTTGAAGCACCAAATCCATTTACATACATTCGACCGACTTATCCTTGTTCCCTCACAAATTAGTCCAGAAGAATCTCCATAAAAAGAATTGAAACTAGAGAGTGTCAGCTGATGTAACGTTGATGTGAGTTGTTTACAGATCGAAGTGTAACGAACAAAAAGTTCTGTTGATAATCGAGTGACTCGAGCGGACGTCAGTAAACCTTCCACTTCACCCTGTCTGGTGCAAGAGTTGGCTTTGCTCGTTCTGGAATCTCCTAAAGTGTCATATCTTCCTTCAAGGGCTTTCGCGAACTCTGACAATCGAGTACGTGGTGTCCCCGCCGTGTGTTTGATATCCTGGGAAATCTAGTCGCTAACGGCTCATGTCCATCAATTGTCGTTCATACGGATTACATACCCGGCCCACCTTGTCTTCGACAATTTGAAGTGTATAACGGCGTCTTTCATTTCTAATCGGAGGCGTAGGTCGGAGTTTCGGATCCCTGCCCCCACTTGTGTGGTGCGGAATACGTCTATAAACCAGAGTGATCCAGTGTGAAAGAAATTTAAATAACGAAGAGAAAATATCCATAGACGACAAAAATACGCTAGTGTGAAGCAAAGCGCATTCCAAAAGCAGGCCGTTGAAGGACATAGATACGACAACCAACATTCACTGCCATACCTCATCTGTTCGGAGAGCTCTAACATTCTTTCATTTTCATATCAGCAGATCATCACCATGGAATAAGCTTGCGCGGGAAAGAAACCAATGGAAGATGTACTGGAGCCCGCATTATTAATGAAAACGGACCATATAAATATCGAAGTAAGCGTGTTTCTTTTACTCGACTTAAAACCTTGGATTCTACAGCAGTGTAACATGGAGCAGTGATATACATAACATCGTACAGTATACATCTAATGAGGTAACATCACGCAACAGCCACTAAAAGAGCGTCGATCTTTCCAATGCCCTCATAAGACTCTCAGGTACGGATATATGGGTAGCAATTCTCTTCAAGAGACAAACATCGTAAAAACCTATTATTCTAAAGAGGATAAAGGATGAGAAAACAAAAGGGAAAAAAGCAAATAGAAGGACGAAGTGTTAATAGTCTCCATTCGTATTATTGTAGAGATGAACAGAGGCATTTTTGGCCTATATGATCGCCTTCTGATGCATTAGCTCCGTGTTATTATCTTAAGAGACGAGTCTGGTACCAACTTTCTGACACCAATAGATGAAGGATTTTTTGGTTTATTCGTGACTCAACGTCGAACCAACGATCACGTGTTCATATGAGGGGGTCTCTAAACATTGTGCTATGCAAGCTCATAGCTGTGGTAATAGAAACAGTGATCATCGACGACGAACAATTTTGGAATAACAGAGCCCCATTAACGAAGACCACAAACAAAGAGCGAGTGAACCGGTGTCCTACTCGGATTTCTGGTATCAAAGTTCATCAGCATGCAAAGCGACCACAATGTATATACGACTTTTAGAGCCAGAGGTTAAAGATTGATGACCGACCATGGTAGATAACTCGAAATTTCCCATGGCTTGGATTTGTAGCCCGATCTTTACGATGACTTTTCCGCCATTGAAGAGAGCTGGAGGGGTTCTAAAAATGAAAAATATGATGATTTTAACTTAAAATGGATCAAGAACACGAAGTACAACTTAAATTTTCTTATTGTCATGAAGGTCCACGTCTGAAAGTCCAAATCAAATAGTCTCTGCAAATTTTAGAACCATCTTTGTCCGAACTTAATAAATAGTATACTGACAGAAAGGCGAGACAAGAGCATCCGTTAGTGTGGTGGATAGCACTTGAGTCCACACTTATTTCCTTGGATACTTGGATGACGTGTGGTTCACTGGTCGTGCGGACCCTCAGTATAATTTCCACTCTCTTTGGAGGTTTGCTCGCTTAGCCATTATGCTTCCCTGGAGACCCGAGATCAGTCTAGCCGAAATCTGCCCCAGGTTGTCACCACCACAGATGGTCGCCGCCTTTGTGCATCAGAGGGAAATTTGCCACCATGCGATTTGTTTGCTACCACAACGGTGGTGGATCCTGGCATTGGTTTATTCTAAGCTGGGCTTTCTGGTGAAAACGCCAGACTCCTTCTCAGCTTCAGAGGCTCTACTGGGAGAATGAATGCCCCCAATGTACAACGCAACCAGACATCCAGGAACACCTCCCAGCCATGATGAGGCAGTGAACCGTTGGGAGGAATAATGATAGAATAACAGCAATATAAATAATACACAAAAATAGCATCAATGAGTTACGTCCTCATTATTGATGGGTTTATTCCAGTGTGGTTGTTAGAACTGATACAGCTGTGGTCATCCTACTAACAGGACTATTCAAACAGAGGAACACGACAGTTAACACTAGGAAACCCAGCTGTAAGTAAACCAACGCCAGCAATCACTACTATCCTGGTCGCGTCCATCTGCAGGGTTCTAAATATCTTTCCGATCCTAATGGTATTGCCTGCCACAACTACCTTGAGACTCCAGTAAAAAAGCCAAATCCTGTCACAATCAGAAAATCACCAAAAAATGTAAGTCGTACTGGAGCCGCCGTAAGGTTTGTCGTTTGTCGAAGACGTATTCGAGTCATTTATGAAACATGATCCAATTAAACCGAATTTGGGTGCCGATTTGGGCTCCCCCGATCAATCCCGTTGATTGTTGATTGCTGATGGCACTGGTCGGTAGAACTTGCTGAGAGACAGACAGAACGAAAGAGTCGCATGGTGTGGTGGTGAACGCTTTAGCCCGGAAAGAATAATAGCTCGTTCGTTTCCCACAGCAGACACCGGCGGTCCGGACTTTTGGAAATATCTCAGCATCACTCTGGTTGGATCACACATAATGCCCTTTCGTAAAAAAATCGTAGTAGGTAGTAAATAAAAAGTTAACAAACTAAATTACGTTCCAATTTTTGAGCACTTATTGAGATTATATTAATATAGGTAAGTTAAAAAATGGACGAGAACCTGTGGCGTAGTGGTCGGAGACGCACTGCAATACCGATGGGATCGATCCCATGCCCTTGGCCTACCAAGCCTTCAATCACTCCGGGATGGGTAAATTGATACCAAACTTGTCTTGAAGGATAGCAGTACTAGCTTGATACATCCTTACGCCACCACGAGTCCTTGTAAAGACCAAATAGGCATTCAATCACCTCAAACGATCTTAATGAAGTCGAATGCATGGCGCATCCCTTAGGGATTGAACAACACAGAGAACTTTATCCCTTAAATAGAAAAAATACAGGTTGATATTTGCAGAACTCCGGACCGCAGATGTCTGCGGTGTGGAATGAGCGCGCTATTCTTTCGTTTCGCCTATTTCTCAGCTGGTTCTTCCGATCACTGCCATCAGCAATAAAAAGTTTAAGAATAAAAGTGATCAAAAATTGAGGAATCGCAAAACTATATTACTTTGAACAAAATAATAAATGCTGTTTCTACTTTAAAAATTTTTTAAGGTCACCTCGAATCGTAATGTACTCGTTGAAGAAATGGAATCAGCTGAGTGGAAGGAAACGGCCGTTGTGACGCCAAGGCATTGTAGTCAAAACGTCTGAAGTATTTTCGACTATCATGAGTTTACTTGCTATCAAAAGATTAGTCTAGTTTTTTTTTTCAGGGATTAATTCTATTTTCGATTGATATTTTTGGAGTATTTATTTATTATACTTAGTCATTGCAAGGACGCAGGAAGCAGAGTGGTTGGAGAGGATCTGGAATAATGCACTCACTATCCCTGGTTCGATTTGCCCTCCTGCGCAACCAGGCCTTGCATACCGTCGAGGACGGCAAAGAAAAGACCGGCGAATGCCAGTGGTGAAGAACTCGAAGTTCTATAGCAGAGCTGTCTTAGAATTCCAGGAGACCACTATTCAAAACATTCATAAGGAAGGTCAAAAATTTTCAAGCAGCAGCCAAACAAACACGCAAATCCAAGGACCTTATTGGATTGTGGACAAAAGACAGCAAACAAAATGAAAAAATGCGCCGTTTTTCTTCAATAAACAGACGCGAGGTTGGTATTATAGAATTTATTAGCATAAAATAGTTGACATTTAGGCAGTTGCGGCTTCTTCAGACCCCGGAAAGGTCAAATTGAAACGCGATCTACTCAGCCAAACACTTTCATAACCCTAGCAGATAAGACTTAAGAAGATAAGACAAACGAATTTGTATTCACATAGGAAACAGCTTCATAGACACCCACCGTTTATTCGTTGTAAGTATTCCAATTAGTTGGTGGACAGCAGTCGCACAGAGTAACACACGGGCGACGATTATGCCTGGGTCAGGCCATTTAATCAGCCTGAGGTATCGCCCCAGATCACGCTTGATGACAAGACACTCCTCCTTGCGGTTCATTTTTGGATTTTTGGAATTAATCCAAAACGCTTCAAGAGATTTACACGCTGTCTTGGATTCTTGTGCGAGGATAGTGACTTCTACTTCAAAATCTTCTCGGATGTGTTTTTTTTTGTGAAACAGGGTTTAAATGAAGCTGTTTCTTATGCAAATGCAAACATATTTGTTAAGCCTTATCTGCTAGGGTTACGGAAGTGTTTGGCTGAGTAGATCGCATGTCAATTTGACCCTTCCAGGCTCTGGAGAAGCCGAAACCTCTGAAACGTCAGCTATTGTACGCCAATAAATTCTATAATACCAACCTCGTGTCTACTTATTGAAGAAGATTATCAATGAATGCCGAGGTTAATAGAAAGTCGGTTTTTGCAAAAGAAAAACGTTTTAGGATGAGCGAAGTCGAGAGTTTTTAAAAAATAGCTCCGACGGCTGTGTACTGGGCAATCGACAGGAATCATTATACCCTTCAAAAAGGCGAATGCATCGAAACGCTCGCCAAACAAAGGGTTTTGTAACAACCTCATCTATGTTGAACAATCTAAAGAACAAAATATTATTCGCTACACAAGAATACGTAACACTGTCGCTAAAGTAATAATTGCTTGTATGAGTTCCCACACTCGTGTAGCGCAGAGGTTAGAGGTGCCTTGCAATACGCATGGGATCGATCCCCGCACCCGTGGCTCACCAAGCCTTTTATCCCACTGAGGTCGGCAAATTGGTCCCAGACATGTCTAGGAGGATAGCAACACTGGCTCGATAGATCGGTGGCCACCGTTAGCCATCATATAAACCAAATATACACTCAATCACGTCTAACAATACTTAGTGAGGTCAAATGCTTGGCGCATCCCTCAGGGATTGATCAACGCCGCGAATTTTATCCTAACCGTTATGAGTTTTCACTTAAATATTAGTTCTTTGAAAATGAGTTATGTTTAAAAATGCTTAAACCTTACTTGAGGACTTCATCGAGATGATCTGGATTCTTCATCGGTTCCATTAATTCTTCAATACTGGCACCAATACGGCTGATATTAAATGCTAGGCTGCCATATTTTTCTAAAATTATTTCCTTTCAGAGGCGTTTTAGTCCCGGAAATTTTCCATGTTCATGCAGTTTTTCACAGATTTTATATACACTTTTTTTCCAGGTTAATATGAAACCACTTTCAAGAAGTAATAATGCTATAGACTAGTTTTCTCCCATCGGTAATTTCAGATTATATGTCAAACGAGAGCGAATGGAGCATAGCGCAGAGGTACCCCGCAAAACATTCTAAGTGGTTGATTCGATCTCTTGTCCAAAATTAATTAATCAAGCCCTTTACCCCTCCGGGATGGGTAATTTGCTACCTACCACGCTTTTCTAGGCAGTTAAAAACACTGACTTGATACAACACTAGGACCAAGAAAATACCAAGAAAATCACCGTGTAAAGCAGTGAATCACATCTACAATGTTGGGAATGGATCGAATGCACAGGTACATCCTCATGGAATTTATGAATTACGAACTTTTATCTTTTATTCCTCACCACGCTACGATAAATGGAAATTCACAAGCCTGTGAAGTACTGAATATTTTCGGGCTCCTCTTCGCTAGTTGTGGAAGGACCGCAGATTTTTGAAGTAACTATAGCAATCGATTGATGAATTTCGAACAAATGATTGCCAATTCCGAATCTTCCATCGATATTCGACAATGAGTCATTGAGGTATATTGTAGAATCGTGTACCTGTGTTGGAAAAGCTGATAAGAAGCCGATAAGATCACTAGTATGAGGATCACCACACAAAGTTGACTAACTTTGTCATCTCGGCTTGTCATCTCGGCTTGAGTAGTATTACTAAAATATTCGTTGTATAGCTTAAAGCTTAATAGCGTCATTTCGTGTCAACTTCTCAAATGTAAATAGGCGTAATTACAAAAAAACCCGTATATAAAACAGTACCGTGCTACAATATCTCATTAGCCTCGCTTCCACATCAAAGCTAAGACAATACCTTCATTGGAAATTTGAAGAGAAAAACGTTATCACAGAACGTCAATAAGGCAAGCCGGATTGGCAGAGGTGATGCTCAAATGATACCTACCCAGACAGAAATGTAGCTTGTTGTCTGTTTTAAAAACTTTTTCTCGATGAAGAACTAGGACAGCATTACGAACACGCACGAATCTCTTGAAGAGAACCTTATGGTGGTCGAACAAAACATTTAATTAGCATGGATTGAAAAAAAGGCATGAAGCCATTCTTCCTTGATCGTCAGCTACGCTGTATTCGGCTAGAAGCTTTTCATGAATAAGAAGAAGCTGTGGTACTCGAAGAGAAAAATCAATGAAGTCTTCTTCAAGGTTACTTTTCAATTCTGGTTGAGTTGACTTTCCCAAAGATCCAAAGATGATCCACTCAAATGATATTGTTCTTTCTTAGGTCTTCATGGTGAACCAGAATTGCCACTTCGAAAGCGTTCTCATGAAAAAACAGTGGTATCTACATGAAATGCAGATTTTTTTCAATTATTGATTCGTCGACGATAGGAACTTTATAGTTTCATAAAGCAGCATAAGACTATGAATGAATTGGAAACAGGTGAGCAGAACAATCGTTTTGAAACTCTGATAGCTAAGTGGAATATGAAGGGGATATGGTAATCTGAGAAGACTGTAGGCAAATAAAGTAACACTGGGGAAGAAAACTGCAGATTAATTCTCAGATTCAGATTAACAGTCTTCTCAGATTACCATATCCCCTTCATATTCCACTTTCTAGATCTCATGCTTCAATTTTATCCTCTAGCGATGTTTTTCTCCGTGTTCGGTTTTTTACTACGAGGTGGCATACTTTTTGGTGTTAGATGAAAAATCGAGGTAGCGAAGTACTTGCAAAGAAACGAGGCTCGAATCAAAGTATCGAAATACGAACTTCGAAGACATGAAAGAAACAGTTCACTCACAACGACTCTGCACTTTGAAGATCTGTGTCGTTCCTACAGACCACGTCCAAATTCAGATGGTATTTCCTAGCTGCTGAAGAGCTGGCGATTCGCAGCACACGAGGATGAAGGCGACAAACATTTTCGAAGTTAATTTCCACTGCCTAAGTGGAAATTCAAGAAAGCTTACCAATGCTAATTTTTACGTGTTTCTGTCAAAGTGGGACAAATGATATGCAATCAATCAATCAATATCTTTAATGTTTTAGACAAAATTGAAAGTGACA